TCAGTCAGTGTTCTTCAAGTTTAGTCCCGGTTCATGATTTCAGTGTCATTTTCAGTTAAAATTCCGGGTCCAATTCAGTTCAGTTAATTAATATCAGTTCAGTTTCGTACTTAACCGGTTTCAGTTATACCGATTAAGTCTGAATATCATGTCAGGTTCAGTAGAGCATCTTAACATAATTAAACGATTAAATTATCAGTCTGAGCATAGTCAGTAGTAATTGTTTATATTATTTTCAGTTTGATCAGGCATCAGCACTACCATTCAGTTTCAGCAGTTCAGGTGGGGACTCAGACTAAGTACTACATTGTTTATAATTACCATGTTCGAGGTATGTATATTCAGTATCCGCTCGGAATGGTCGTCGGTCCATTCTGGGTTCTAGTGGCCTAATCTACCCACTAGAGTGTTCACATGGTCCGGTATTAGTTTGTGCCGGCAGATTTCGGTATTAGTTTGTGCCGACAGATATTCAGTATCAATTACGTGACTTATGTCGCGAGATCAGACCGGTATCAGATATCAGTTTCAGTTTCAGTTTCAGTTCAGTTATATATGCTAAGATCATGATATTGTTATTATTTTCAATGTTTACATTAGTATGAGTTTCTGCGGAGCACAAGTGTTTTAGTGCTCACGCCCCCACGCATTTCATGTTTTTCAGGTCGCAGGGTCGGGGACGAGGAGTGAGCTGGCGGGAAGTTCAGGATATTTGTGAATATATGTATATATGTTTTGCCACGCAGTTAGTTGCGCTAAAACTATCAGTACTTATTTTCAGTTTTTGATCCGACGTTAGTCGGTTAAGGCATTATAACCGTTTTTATTTATCAGTTTAAGTTTAATGGTTTTCAGAAAAATCAAGTTTTTCACGGTGGCATCCCGGATCAGTTTCCGCAAAATAAATATTTTATTTATTTATTTAGAAAATTGCGAAAAATCGCGTACTCTAATTTCAGTAAAAAGTCGGGGTGTTACAACCAACATTCGCCTTCCCCGGATGGTACTGAATTGTACAATCATAATCTTTGACGAGCTCTAACCAACGGCGCTGTCTCATGTTGAGTTCCTTCTGAGTAAAGATATACTGTAAGCTCTTATGATCGGTAAAAATTTTGCATCGACCGCCGTATAGGTAGTGTCGCCAAATCTTAAGAGCATGAATAACTGCTGCTAATTCCAAGTCGTGTGTCGGATAGTTCTGTTCATGTGGTTTAAGCTGGCGTGAAGCATAAGCAACGACCTGGCCGTCCTGCATAAGTACACATCCCAAACCCTGCCTCGAAGCATCACTATAGATGGTGAAACTCCGAGAAGGGTCTGGAATAGTCAGCACCAGTGCCGTCGTAAGCCTCCTTTTCAGCTCCTGAAAACTTGACTCACAACGGTCTGTCCATTCGAACTTTACAGACTTTCTCGTCAGCTGAGACAAAGAGAGGGCAATCTTCGAGAATCCCTCAATAAATCTGCGATAATAACCTGCAAGGCCGAGAAAACTACGAACCTCGGATGGATTCTTCGGTGCTGACCAATTCTGAACTGCAGCAATTTTGGAAGGATCAACTTCAATACCTGCTTGAGTGATAATGTGGCCAAAAAAAGCCACTCGCTGAAGCCAAAATTCGCACTTGGAGAACTTTGCATATAACTTTTCACGTCTAAGGGTCGAAAGAACGGCCCTCAGATGCTCCTCGTGCTCCTTCTGGCTCTTGGAATAAATAAGAATAGCATCGATGAAAACAATAACGAACTGGTCGAGAAAAGGATGAAATACATGGTTCATCAAGTCCATGAATACTGCCGAGGCATTACTGAGGCCAAACGGCATAACCACAAACTCGAAGTGACCGTATCTCGTACGAAAGGCTGTCTTGGGTATGTCTGACTCCTTGATTTTCAGCTGATGGTAGCCTGAACGCAAATCAATCTTGGAAAACACGCAGGCACCCCTCAACTGATCAAATAAATCATCGATCCTGGGAAGCGGATATTTATTCTTGATCGTCAACCGGTTAAGATCCCGGTAGTCGATACACATACGCATGGATCCGTCCTTCTTCTTGACAAAAAGAACTGGTGCTCCCCAAGGAGAAACGCTCAGTCGAATAAAACAGAGATTCAGCAACTCTTGGATTTGGGTCTTTAATTCCTGCAACTCTTTAGGCGCCATTCGGTACGGTGCCTTGGAAATGGGTCCGGCTCCAGGGATAAGATCAATAGAAAATTCCACCTGTCGACAAGGTGGACCTCCGGGAAGCTGGTCTGTAAACACGTCCACGAACTCACGAACGATAGGAATGTCATGAGGTGAACGTGCCTTTGGCTCATCTCCAACGAGGCTCACAAGGTAACCTTGGCAATCACCCCGTCGAAGGATCTTTCTGGCTTTCGCCATGGAAATAACATGAGGCAGAGTATGAATCCTGGAGCCGTAATAAGTGATCTGATCATCTCCCGGAAGATAAAGAGTAATCTCCCGGTCGTGACATCGGATATCTGCGTGAAAACGTGTTAGCCAATCCATACCGAGTATGAGGTCAAAATCCCTCATCTCAATAACATAAGCATCAGTAATCAGAATACGGCCGTCGATGGAAAGGCTGAGATCGGTGGCTCTAGCGTCAGTCACTATCTTTCGCCCTGAGGCTAAACTCACCTCGAGAGGATCGACAGCGGTAGTGGAATGAATCCCAATAGCTTCAAGACATCGACGTGATATAAAGGAATGGGTCGCTCCGGTATCAAACAAAGCATAAACAGGTACATCATTAAGAATAATCATCCCGGACATGGTACCTGGTTGCTGGTCGGCCTCCCTCTGGTCAACTGCAAAAATGTGGGCCTGCTGTCTGCCACGTGGCTGTTGCTGGGGTCGTGGTGGTTGCTGCCTGGGCTGCTGTTGTTGAGGTTGCTGTGGTGGTTGACGTTGTTGCGGTTGTTGTTGCAGTCGTTCGGGACAGTTGGTGCTGATATGGCCTGTCTGGCGACAAAAGAAACAGATGTTCTGGCCCATAAGGCATTCTCCACGGTGGTGTCGTCCACAAGTGACACAAGGTGGGGTCTGTTGTTGTCGGGGCGGTTCTTTCGATCGTCTGGACCTCCTCTGAACTTCCTCTTCTTCTGGTTCTTTGCTGGTTGGGCAACATTGGGCTGGGCTGGTGGTTGAGCAACTGGCTGGGCTAAGGTCGGATTGGCTTCTCATCGGATGGTGGCATCTATCTCCTGGGCGATGGCGACTGTGCGGGCGTAGGTCTGGATGCCGTGACCTACGATGTTGTGGCGGACTGCTGGGAGAAGTCCGTCGGTAAAACGAAGAGCTCTCTTCTCCTCTGTACTTACAAGATCAGGTACAAAGGATCCGAGTCGGGTAAATTCTCTTTCGCACTCGTCGACAGAACGAGTACCTTGTCGGAGTGCCAAAAACTGGCGCTCCATATCTGCTCGGTAATACGAAGGATAGTACTTTCCACGGATCAACTCCTTGAATTGGTTCCATGTACAGCCTTGTTTCTGGCCGGGACGCATACTCCAATAAGCATTCCACCAGAGTCTGGCATCACCGGTCAGCTGGATTTGTGCGCATAACATACGATATCGATCAGGATAGTCCATGACCTCGAAAATCATCTCGAGGCCCAGAACCCATTCATCCACTATACGAGGATCTCCTTGGCCGGAAAACTTTTCTGGATGGTAGTCAAGAAAGTGTGCAACTACTGTGGCCTGAGGGAGCTCCTGATGTTCTGGTTCTCTGCGAGGCGGCATCTAAGCATTGAAAAAGTCAACGTAATCAAACGCAGACATGATGAAATACTTTACTGATCATTAATGCGCACAGATCTCTTGACGAGTTTCTAATATTAATCCCGAGAAATTAAAGTCGAAACATCGAATAACTGGGACAAATAACTTATATTGAATCACTAATTCGAGCATCTTACTAGTTTCTAGGGTTAATTATCTGATACCCTCTACTGAGCATATACTAAAGCATCTGTTTAGATATATAAACTGTAACTCAGCATTTACCTGTAGTCGGCGAGGCGTGAGCGTAGCGTGGTCGGATCTTTTCTGAAAAGTTCTGACTTAATAAAATTATTCAGATACACAAAAACGTGCTCTAATACCATTTGTAACACCCCGCTAGCTTAATAAAATCAGAGTCAAATTTTCGCAATTTCTTTTCTAAAAATACATGTTCATCTTGCGAAACCAGTATTCGAGGTGCTACTGAAAAGAACTTTCTTATTTAAAATCCGTTATCTTTCCTGAATAAAAAGCATTAAGAAAAATGGATTATCTAAGTCAACAGACATGTAAAACTGAATAAAATCTGACTGAACTGATACTGGTGAACTGGACTGGCTGGACTGAAAAATTAACTGAAATACTGTACTGGACTCGAACCGGATCAGTAAACACTGAACAGCTTAAAAACCGGTCTAAACCGGCCGGTTCCTTTTCTGGCCGGACCGCCGGCTCGCTGCGGCCGGGCGGTTGGCTGCTGGCTTGTTGGAACCCATGAGGATCTCGATATGCACAAATCACGAACAAACATACAACATAAACCTATGCGCAGCGGATCTAAAGGTTTGATGTAGAAAACTTACGGCTTAAAATTTGTGTAGATCTGGCTGGCCCGAACAGATGACCGCAAATCAAATCTTCTCAGAATCGAACAAACTTGACCAATCCAGAAAGCTGACGTCACGGCGAAGTCAACGGCGTTGACCGATCGGAAAACAAAGCTTCCACGCGCGCGAGTAAGCCTCAGCAACTGGTACCTTCCAGCGGCGCGTGACGGCGCGTGCGGCGGCGGATGGCGGCGATCTCGACGGCGATCTCTTCGACTCGTCGTCCTGGTCGTCGTGGTATGGTCACTTGCTGGTTTTGGTCTCCAGTTTGGATGTATGATAGATCTGATTGGAATCCCGTATATACCTTAAGATCTTCTACTGTATTCTCAAACAGCTATCTAGATCTTGTATCAGTGGAGCACAAGAAATAGAACAACTCCTTGGAAGAGAGAGAGAGAGAGAGGGCTGGACGTGCTTCCCAAGGCTGTAGGATTGTCTCTTCTCTTCCATGAGCCTAATGCTGTATATATAGAGCTAGAGTAGGGACCCTAAGGAAAATAGGATAAGGGCTTCTAATATATTAATACTGTGGAGCAACCCCACAATTAATATATTAATAATATTAAGGTCCACCACAATAATATTATTGCACTCCCCTCGCCTATCCCAAATTACATTTGAGACTCCTTATTATAATTATCCAATTTACCTCCCCATGTTTAAGATATAATGTCCATTAATTAATTCGATCACTAATAATCAAGAATTAATTAATATATTATATTACCGAAGCTAGCGCTCGCTCATAGCATTCATGTTATGCCAGAATAAATCCACCTGCAGGGTTTAGCATAATATTCCTTCACGAACTCACTTCGGGGACATCATCATAATAACACACATGGTGACCGTAAATATCCTAATAGCACATCGAACACATAATGTCATTACCCAATTCATTAATTATGTCGACCCGGCTTGGATCTCACCCAAAGAATCAAAGCAACAACAGTTATGTGCACATGTCTATTTAATATCTTACGGGTTAAGAGCACGCAATAATTAACTGAGGCCTAGTTCGGTTACGACGATCAGTATAAAACGAACATCCCTCTTTGAGATCCTGTTCAATACATAAACGTACTAGTGCAACTAATCGGTCAAGACAAACCGTACGGTTGACACTACAACCGTTCCGATGGGTTGTTCAATTCCATCTAGGTTGTGAACCAATGATTCTTGTTTCGCAAGTAACTGATATAGTGATCTTCGGTACGCCCGATGACGACCCACTTATCTACATTCAAAACAACAGAACGTGGAACTTATTTAACCAAACATAATTCTCATTCATCAAGAAATAACAAGTGTAATATCCACTAAAGCAAAGCTTAAGTATATAACACCAACAATCTCCCACTTATACTTAAAGCTGCCACTTTACTAGTATAGTCCTATCAATCCGTATCCTAAACTACTTACTTAATGAATCTCATGGGCCTTGTCCTGGCTTCAAAGAAAGACCTTTCGAAATGTCTCCCTCTAGCCCACAAAAGCGGTCAACCGCGAAAAGAAAAAAGAGAAAGAAGGTCTTTTTCCTGGAATGGTACTCGCCCTATGTCGATCTTATCACCACATTTGACTCCCATTCCCTCTACGTGTTTGGCGAAGACCTTCTCCGGCAAACTCTTCGTAAAAGGATCAACTAGGTTGTCTTCTGATGCAATCTTGGTGATCTCAACATCTCCTTTTGCCACAATATCTCTGATAAGGTGGTATTTGCGCTCTATGTGTTTGCTTGCTCTGTGGGCTCGTGGTTCCCTTGAGTTTGCTACTGCACCACTGTTATCACAGTACACGGTAATAACACGTGCCAAACTCAGAATCACTTCTAAGTCCACCAAGAAGTTTCTGAGCCAAACTACCTCTTTCGCTGCCTCAGAGGTTGCGATGTACTCGGCTTCCATAGTGGAGTCTACTACGCACTTCCGCTTAGCACTCCTCCATGAAATGGCTCCACCTCCCAAGGTAAACACATAACCTGAGGTTGACTTACTCTCGTCCCTATCTGACTGAAAATCAGAATCGCTGTAACCCAGC